TGATTTAGTAACCATTTAATTGATTTCTTTTATGGCATCCTTTTCTTCACAATCTTTGGCAATATTCGGTTCGATGACATTGTGTAAGACACACTTCCGGGCGCAGCCTTCAACGCATGTAGCAATTGAGACACTCAGCCCATTTAACACCCTCTTGATAAGAATTGTATATAAAACAAAAGAGAGTTAGGCCTAAATTGAGGGGCCCACAAAAAGAAAAGGGCACCAGCTAAACAATTGAATACACCACAATACACAAAATATATTTCTCACTATTTTTCATATAAACAAGATCAAAGTAGCACAGGCTGCTTGGCGGGCGGGCAGACAGTCTATGAGTCGTCCCCAGATATACAAAAACAGCAGGAAGTAACGTAAATACGACTCGACGAGCCGATCTCTATTTGTCGATTTCAACAAACGAATTGTTTTCATCAAGAGCAAGCAACAAACAGTTGGTAACAATAATATTGCACAATATGGCCGCAGATCAACTAATAATTCCAATAAAAATGCACGATTTATGACCCGACCATTTGGCTGGAAACTCAAAGTGTTTCAAGTCATCTCCTTTTCCATGAAATGTAAATTTTTACATATGCGTTTGCATTTGCAGTTTATAATAGTTTTGAATAGCCGAAGAATGTGTCGGAATTTGATTGGCAAATGGGAAAAGTTCTTAAACGGTTCGTCTTTTGATCGTACACCGGTAATTTCTTTGCCAAAGCTAATGAGAGGATATTAAACCTTAAAATATAGATATTTATGGCAGTTGTATAAATAAAGAATATATACATGGCCGTTTCTTTGCTAATAAGTTTAATGTGAGAAATACAAGAATAGTTATAAATATATATTTATATATATACAATATATATATTTTTCAATTTATAAAGTATGTTTTGTTTTTGTTGATGATAGCACATCCTGACATTTATCCAGTGAATTTTATTTCAGATATTTCAGATAGATTTGATTCTTTATAGTATAACATTTTATAAGAATCATATAAAATATAGATTTTGTTGTACCTGTCGATATTTGCATAGATATTGAGTCCAGATCAGCGTGTTAAGTATTGGACATCTAGATATTTGTATTATACATTTTTTATTTCCGATCATCGTGTAATAAACTTGATTTTTGCTTTTATAGATATATATGATCTTTTGTTATTCCAAAATACATTTTGGAATAACACACTATAAATATTATTTCAGGTTTTGTATAAATATTTTATAAGCTTGTTATTATTACGTTTAAGTTCTTTGCAAACTTTTCTAAATGAGATATTTTAATATTTTTATGCTTGTTCTCTAAGTGAATAGAGTACATTGGTTCTGTGCAATGGTCACCTTGCTGTTCGTTCGTCTTTCTTTATAAGCGAATACCCAGCATTTAACACATTTTGTCAAGCCGCTACTAAAAATATATTGCATATTACCAATGCAGATTCGGGGTATGTCAAATTTAGAACACGTATATTTTCTACAGTTTTTATGTTAGAGCACAGGATTCAGTAATAAGTTCAGATTGATCAGACAAGTATATAATTATGCTTACTAGGGGCTGATAAATCGAGGATGCCTGTACAAATTTCTTACTATTTTGAATGCGATCGCTTGATGGTAAATAATCCACGATAAAAATATATTATTATTACATTCTATTTATATTTATATCCATTTGGACCATGGTAAATTAGCAAATTTACATGTTCTACAGTTATAGATGATTTGCTTTCTAGATTGAATAGTATTCTTACCATGATCAGCTGCTCGAATGGGCGTCGGTCTCAGCACGGACTTGTAATCCATATATATGCCCGAATAGAACTTATCCAATCCCGCGTAGTTATAGTTATGTGGATTTGTCACGCCTTGTGACGCAGACATTGAAGCGTGCTTGGCAGCCTCAGTTGCCTGTTGTCCGAAGCAGCTGGAGAAGGTGCAGCAGGCATAGACACTGCCATCACAGCATTGTCGCGTGGACGCTGGGTTTGGCATGGGCAAAGGATCGATGCGCTCGGCGCTTAACAAACGATCGACACTGAAACTCAGTTTCACTTTGGTTGTGTTTGTGGTGCTATAGGAGCTGCCATTGCTGCTGGTGAGGGATGTACTGGGGGTTGTGGCACTGGGACTCGACACGGAATCTTTGGTGGGCAAATCACTGTTGGAGTTGGAACCGTTCTCACTGTCCATGGGATCGTGACATGGTGTTTGCAACTTGATTTCACAGTCGTTAAACACATGAGTGCTGAGATTCTCGGGCACACTTTGTTCCATGTTGGCACTTTCGTGTAGCAACATTGTCACACTGCAGTTAAGCGCAATAATTATACGATCATGTCACAGAGGCAATAGGCAAACCACCGTCGCTTAAAAGACACGGCCTTTATGTACAAAATGTTTATGCGGAGCGGGGGATTCGCAGTCGATTCCAACCGTTTGGTAAGACAACCCACACGGAACTGAATGCGACCGGGCCGGGAGCAAATCCAAGCAGCGATCATCGATTGCCGCTGGGCCCATACAAATAAGTATTGTGTTAAAGTGTAAATCTCGCTGATCGATACAGTGGGTCACAATGTGACAAAAAGGGAACAAAATGTGGATATTGAGTTGATATATGCAAATAGGTGATGTCTATATGTGCTAATACATACATCATATGGATTTCTACAATTATTTATTGGGAAATCGATATATATAGGTATCATTTCATCATATTGACTTTTCTTATATCGTCCATGTTCATAAATATTATTAGCATAAAATTGTTATAGACCTTAATTTAATTATTAGTTGACATAATATTCTTAATTTGATCTACTATTTGGAATAAAACTTTTGAAATATAAACAAAAAATGTAGAATAACAAATAGTAAATATATGGAATGCTATCGGTGAAGATAAAAATATATTATATGCAAATGTAAATGTAAAAATTTTGTTTTGAACTACTGTTGAATTATTATTATTATTTTTTTTTAAATATATTGTTTTTCTGAATGTTTACTGTTACTGTCAATTAAAGTAAAAACTTAACATTGTTTCATATTGTAGGCTTGATTATATATTTATATATATTATACATTTATATATTTGATATCTTTTCTAAAAATATTTCTATACATATATATATTCCATATAAATGTAGTTCTTCTCGTATTTGTCCCACTGTTGTTCATGTGGGAAACTTGCTCTACACGCTTTGGTTGCTTACATACAAACAGAACGCTGTGTCATTAGCTCAGCCAGAGATCGTTCGTTGATCGGTATTGAGATTTGTTTACCGATTTCTCCATATGTTGCTGTGCTCAATGTGCACACAAGGAAAATATGTGCATGCATACACACACACACACACACACAGTTCCCTAGCGCCTACAACTTATGGAGCGACAGCATGGCAGCTGTTGGCCAATGCGAACGATCCATTCCAGTGGGCGGAGCCACAGACGCTATCGCCGGCAAATGCTTTATCTCTTTCCAGCCTATGGGCGCACGAATACCAGATATGTGTGTATGTACGTACATATGTATGTATGCAAATTGTCGGAAATTGAGTGATCTTTGCGCGAATGCCTGTTAATAAAGTGGGTAATGGTGCCGAGCGAATTGTCGACTCATAAATCGCACTAGATTCTATAGACCCTCATAAATCGTCTATATAGGCCCAGACAATAGCAATTTTATTGAAATGCATTGCATGTTCGCGCGCAAAAGCAACAACAACAACAGATGTTTGTGACCCATTAAAGAATAGCGAAGTTAACTTTTTGTGACCTGCCCGAATGTTTTGCCTAAAATCGGTAGATATTATTATATGAAAGTATAGTTTTCTGTGAGGCGAAATTTGTTTTGTTAATCAGAATTTGAACCATATTCCCTGGCGTGTCGGTACCGCCCCCTTGGCGCCCCCATAGCACCCAATTGACCCCGAAAAAGAAAACAACAAATATGCAAATGCAATCACGGGAAACGAAAACTAAATAAGGACACTTCAACCCCTAAAGCAAATATCAAATACTCTAGGATCGGTTAAAGACCTCTCTAAAAACGGATCAAATGCTAAAATAAGTTAAGTAAAAAAATTTCAAACAAATAAATTTTAGTTTGTTCATTTATTTATATATATTTATATTATATTATTATATAGTATATTTATATTTATATATTATTTAGAAACTTCATAAAATTTGTAAGGATATGCAGGGTAAATATTTATTATTTTATTTATTTGAAATGTTAAATTATAATATAATAAATCAATATGCTTATTAAAACACAAATCGAAGGATTTTTATTTAAATATTTTTAAAGTGAATATTGTAAAGTATTTGAAAAAAAAAATCAACTCAATTTATTAAGTTTGTTTTTATTTGATATTTTATGAATATTATAATGGGGCAGTGCTAATATTGTTCGTTAAATATAACATTTTATTTAATCTTTATAATTAGAGTTTTTAATAAATATATTTTTTATAATTCGATTATTAGCTACAAGTTAAATTAATGCATTTAATATTTTTATTTCGAAATTTGAAAATGAAAAATTTTATTTTGTATTTTTTATTATAATCTAATAAATATTTTTTCTTGTTCAGTATTATTATATTATTATTATATTGTATTTATAAAAATAATAATAACTAATTATATATAAACCTTAATTTAGTATTTTACTATAAACTATTCTCATTTAAAATAATTTGATCTTATATAATTCTTTAAGAAATATAAAAATTTAATACAAATTTGCAAACAAAAAGAAAAGCAATTATTTTTATATTTACAAATACAACACAAATATTTATTATTTTAAGCGTCACAATACGTCCAATATAGTATATATGCCCTCCGCCCTAGAGTATAGACAAACGCAACCAAGCAATGTAAACAAACACGAACTGGATACACTTGGGGGTATGCAAAACCGCAATCAAATTGACTTGGGGCAACTAAATTTGGGTTAGGTAGGACACAGTACGTGTCATCCGCTCGAATGGAGTCGTTGTCCTCATCGTCATCGTCGTCTATGTCGTCCTCCACATGCGCGTCGGCAATCTCAACGCCGAAATTGCGTCGCCATTTGGACACAAAAAGTCTCAGCATCAGTGAATTGCCGGATGGCGAAGATGAGCAGGATTTTAGCTTTCGTTATCCGGACTATATGTATCCGGATGTGGAGTACGATAAGCATGATGTGCCGCTCTCGTTTCGAGCCACGCCCGATTCGCTGTTCAGTCTGTGTGCCGCTGTCGTGGATGCCCAGGCACGGACCGAGGTGTTCAAGTGGAGCATCAATGATGTTGCCCAATGGCTGCGCGATTTTGGCTATCCGGAATACGAGGTGGGTTGGCAGGGATCTGGAATCAATTTTACAATCTCACAAACGGCATTTTGAGTGAATTCGATAGGAAACCTTCAGGGAGAACTATATCGATGGACACAAGTTGCTCAATCTGGATGCCATTGCTCTGGTGGCGCTTAATATACGCGACTTTGAGCACATACGTCACCTTGGAAGGGGCATCCGAGCACTCTATCGTAAGGAGCTGCAGACGGCGACGGAGACGAAAAAACAGAGCGAAGTCTACAAGGCGTTCCGCTCACGAACGGGCCGCAAATACGAGGGCTTGCGGGAGACGGAGCTATTGGGTCGCATGCACATGATTCGCTCGGTCTTTCAGGACATCAACGAATGGGACCTAATGGAGCTGCACATGGCTCGCACTCCGGTGCGTCGTTATCGTGAGGTAATCGCCGGCTCGAGGCGCTACAATCTATACGGCCCATCAACGGCACGCAGATCCCCAATCACAATGGACGATGGCGACACGAGCAATTGGTTTAATTTTGGCGATTGTTATTGAGTTGCCAAGTAGCAAAATCAAAGTCCACCTTGCATATAATAAACTCTATTGACTATTTGCTTGCGGTATTAGTCAAACATTTGTTATTGACTTTTGGCATAGTCTACTTTTTGGTGCTGCGTAAGGGTATTTTTGTTATTTTTATTTTTTTTATTTTTATTTTTTATTTTAGTTATTTTTTTTTTTAATTTTATTTAAACAGGCTTTTTACTACCTAATTGGCAGATTAACAAGTTGAACATAGCGTAAGGGTATAAGGATTTGAATATATTTAAATGCCTTACGATTACGTTACTTTCGTTGGCTTCAAAATGTACTACGTCACTTCTTTACTTTAACATTTTATGCTCATTAAAACTATTGGCGTTGATATATTTGATATTCACTTTAATAATTTAATTATATATAATAATTTTAAGTACTTTATAGTTGAAATATATATATATTTTTTTATTTTGCTGTACATTATTATCGTTTCTGGCAAATATTAAACTTTTTATCTTATTCAACATAAAAGTTTATTACTCTTTGATAGCTTTGCAGTCAGTTTCCGTTTCGTTTAGACACGCCTTATTAGCACACTTTTAAAACTGAAATTTCCAAATTTGATATCGAACTATCATTTTCCACATAAAATTTAATAAATGACAAAATACTTATCCAGCTAAACCATGGCTTTTGAAACTTTCTAAAACAATAAATATTATTAGTAATAAAACTTAAATATTCAATGAAATGAATATCAAAACAAAAAAAAAAAAGCTTTTTCTTAATGAAGAAATATGATAAATATAAATAAATTTATATTATTGTTGATAATATAAAGTAAGTGCACGTTACAGGAGAAGTAACCAATTAAATTAAATTAAATATACATTGAATATATGTTATTGTAGAATATATATTATCATATAAAACATTTTCTTTGCCGTAATTATGGACTGGCATTTTTTTAGATATTGGTCTATTCCAATACACTTGTAGCCTTGTAGCTAAAAATGTAACGACTCATTTAGAGGTGTGGCAAATGCCTTAAGGCTGTAGCTTATACAGTCATTAGTTTTTGATTATACAGAGTTCTTCTGAGCTCAGTGGAGGCGTGCCAAGTGGCTAGAGCTGCATTTATTTTAAGATTTAAGATTTGTTTTAAATAATAACTATTTTTTACAATGAGTGTCGCAGATCTATAAATTTTAATATATTTTTACCTCTTTGATCCCCCAAAACTCTAATATACCACTTCTATATTAAAGCACATTAACCTTACCTGCCTTTAATAGCAATCCATTTTCTCTTAAATCTAGCCTAATATCCATCAAATTAGAGTCGAAACTATTCATGGCAACTAATAACTTCCTGTTCCATGGAGCACTCCCCTTAACCCCCGTCCATAATTGCTCTGCAAAAAAATATGAATTTTTGTTGCTGTTGTTGTTGCTTGTGGGCAATCAGTCGACACGGCGATCACTTATCGCGTTGTATTCGTTGTTGTTGCTAATGTTGTTGCTATTGTTGTTGCTGTTGTTGTTGTTGCCGTCTGCATTCGCGTCCCGCTCACGTGTTCAAATTTATTGATTGTTCTGCTCACAAGACACGGCGTTTGTGTCTTGTTGGTGTTGTTGTTGTTCTTCCTCTCTGCCTCCAACGTCTGATCTGAGGCTGATCGGGTCCGGCGTCCTGCTGAGCGGCATGGGAGACGTACGTGTGGTCGTTTTATGTTATATTTTTCGACATCTTGTGTGTGTGTCTCCACAACGGCGGGGCAACCTCTATGCAACCTTAGACGCAACTCAACTCGAGCTGAGATCGAACACAGTCTCAGTCGCAGTCTCAGTCTCAGTCGAGCTAAGCTGAGCTGCTCGGCTCCAATGCAAATCATATGGAGAGTGCAACGAGCTTTTATTAACTTATGCGCATTCAGATTACCTTAATAACTCGTTCCGTTAACACTTTATTATGTTCAAGGCTCATAAATCGTTCCATCACCCGATCGCAGTTGCAGACGCACAGTCGATGAGCTCGAACCGATATCCAAGTGCCCCGCGAGTGCGTGGACGCTGGACGGATTATGATTTATCGCATTTTAATCAATTTAAAATGTAAAAAAAAAAATACAAATAAACGATACAAATCGGAAGAAATTATGAATGTGTTGCTGTCTTTAGGCTCCACAGTAGGCCAGGCCCACAGCCAATGACAAGCATGCAACAATAACAACAGCAACAACAGCAACAACAATAACCATCTTGATGCTGCGCGTTATCCAACGCGTACCTCGTTTGTATTTCACTTCTCGGCCAGACTCTCAGGTTTCCCCGCTTTTTGCTAGATGGCTGGGATACGAAAATTTACGCGCGCCACATTAAGCCTGGATGCACTGCGCTCTCTGGGGGCACAGCAGCCACATGGTGGAGCCTCAGCCAGAGCCACAGCCTCTGCAATGAATCCGGATCGCGTGCTGTGCTCAAGCTCTGTTGTCTGATTTTGTTGTTGTTGTTGTTGTTGTCGTTGTTGTTGTTTTACTGTGACTGGCTCGACGATGGCAACGCGACGATTATGATGATTAAAATTGATAAGCGAAATATTTTTATCATTTCTCAAATTAACATAAACCATATGCGATTATCACACAATAAGCGCAGTGCTGCGGCTGCTGCTGCTTCATCATCTTCTTCTTCCACATCTTTTGCTGCTTTTCTTCGAGTGTTTTGTTTGCTTTTTATGCGCTTTTATGGCCAACTTCGGCATGGAGCGGCGTGGCTTTTATAAGTTATGGCCATGCGGCGAAATTATGGCAGGTCGGGCCAGGATTTAGTCGCGGCAAAGTGTCAATGCCATAAATTTATGAGGATTTTGGCCAACGGTCGCTCATGTCATGCAACTCATATCCAACTCTGGTTCTGGTTCTCTGTCTCTGGCTCTGGCTGCAAAACATGCGCCTCCTTCAACTCCTCACATATTATTGCTTGCTAAATCGAGTTTTTGTTATGCGAATTATATATAGTTATTTATATGTAATCTATGGATGTTATGAGTGGGTTAAAGTTCTTAAAAACTTAGATGATTGTGCTGCCCAATGGTACGAGGCTAGAACTTCTTGACCCTAGGCAAATTGAATTTTGCAAAAGATTATAATTTATAAAATTTGATTTTAAACATACTTATCATTAAAAAAAAATATATTAAATATATATATATATATATTAAAATAAAATATATTTTACGTATATTAAAAATATACCCATAAAATATAATTAATAATTTAATAAATTACATTAAATAAAATTTCAAGTGTTGAAAGAAATAGTGAAAATATAAATAGATATTATACATTTATACTATTTAAACTTTCTTCTTTCTAAATAAAAATTAATTATGCTTTCAAGTGCTTCTCAACTGTATTTTTTTTTAATTGGTTATTCTTCATCTATTGTAAACAATTTTCGGCTTTTTTCGTTTGTTTCCATTGCCGGCTGTCTTGTATTTCAATTTCATAAATTTTTTATTCAACAAATGCACAGTAAGCACATAAGGAGAGAGATAACAGCAACAGATAACATACATCCATAAGTCCAACTTCAAATGAACCTTTCACAGGAAATAAGAATTTTGTGTTCGGGATAAAGCTTTGAAATCCGGAACTATTAATTTTCGAATACAATTGACCGGCTTTGAGCTGTCAAGTCGGATTATTAAGTTACGGAGCTTCAGGATTTAACCCCAGATACAAGAAGTATTTAGTAACCATCAGACTAGACTAACTGAAGTTAGAGTTTTTGGACCTTTCGAACCTAAACTAGATGCACTTGAGGTCCATTAATATTGAGGCGCGGTATTTGGTATACAAATCTTTCTTGATACTATCATAGTATTACAAAAAAGAAAAAACTATCTTTATGATTGAGGACCTATAGTCATCTTGTGAAAGTGACAGTTAATATTTGACTCACATTACCTTCACTTCACCCACTTAGCTTTCCTCTCCACCATAACTTCTAAGCCGTAACTTAAAAACCAAATATATTATTATACATATATTTTTGTTTTATTCGACTCTTAATGCTAAAACGGCCTGAACCGTCTCGATTTCTTCAGCAACTCAATTTTTTGCTTATCCTCTTCATATTTCTTACGCAGTTCAACAATATTTTGCATTTTGCTTTCACGTATTTGAAATGTATAAAAGTTCTTCAGTTCCTTGGTTTTCTTATCCTTTTCCATTTTACGTTCGATGCGTCCAACAACCGATTCCTTTTGCTCAAAGCCTGCATTGCGTCCATCTTTGCCTACTGTAACCCAGCCATCGGGATCGGCTTCGCTGGTTTTCGCTGCTGCCAGTGCGGCACGCTCCCTCTTATCATATTTTGCCATATATGCATCGATTTGGCGTTGCGTCTTCTCCGCATCTAATATGTACTTATTGACATAGTTGTCATGCCAGAGCTCCATGCCCGTTTTGATCAAACATTCACCGCTGCTGTTGAACAAATCGATGCTCTCGATGACCAGAGCTCGGCCAATGGTGGTGCTCTTTTCGAAGACAACGTAGGCCACCTTGAACTTAAAGGGAGCCTCTACATTTGAGAAGGGCACATCCAATCCCTCATACCAGTGCTCTGTCTCGTCCCGCCCCGGTTTCTCGGCGAACAAAACACTCTCCACCTTGCCTTTGCTCTTGAAAAATGTTTGCAGGCTGGCTTCTGTTACGTAGGGCGGAACGTTGAGCAGAAATAATGTGCGACCCTTGGGTTTATTAGGATCCATTAGACGTATGAAATGTTCGCGCATGTAAATGCTGTGACAATGCTTCGCATCCGGCGTCATACGCAGCGGCACAACTGTGTTGGGGTATTTATAAATATATATGTACATATATATTTAACTTTATTGAATTTACACTTACCTCTATAACCTTCTATTTCAGTCAAGTCTACCATTGTTTTAATTTTAGTTGATATTTAACGTTTAATGTTGCTGTAAACACGTTTTGTTTAAATTCA